TTTGATAGGCCGCCTGTTGAATCTTTTTTCGCTCTTATCCTTTGCAGATATATTGCTGAATCTCTGGGAAATCGAGAACTCAGCAAGCGGCGTCTCTAAAAGTCCTGATTGCTTTCCAAAAAATCGGCGAGCGGAGTGCAAGAAATTAGCCATCTATTTTTCCGGTGCCCGCTTGTCCCCGGCGATTGTCTGAGCAATTGTCAACTCTGTATCAATCTCGACAACATTTTCGTCGGCGTAAGATTCTCCTTCTGCCTCGCTGTTGAATTGGAACACGTGCGAGTCATCTGCGATTTTGTAAAGTATCCTGCCTGCCGTTTCCTCTTCAAACTGCCAACCTTTCCAAAAGATTGAGGGATGTTTTAATAACATGTTATTCTTCTGAATGTCATAAAGTTCTTAATTCATTGAAACCAACCAATTTCTACAAATTAGGCAAGGTGAGTCTAGAGCGTTTTCACAAAAGTAACCTTCTTCAGCACTAGGTTTACAGAGTATAGATTCCAGAAATGGGCGGGTTTTTGTGTGAAGGTGTGGAAATTCACCAATCTCCCATAGTTTTTTGGGGGTGTGCTAATAATGATGGCATAACTGTCAATCAAAAGCGCATTTTTTACCAAAAAAAACATAAACATATAACAACGATAAGCAGCTCACTTCCCGTCAATGCTGATAATGATGTCAATCCACAGCACATTTTTTACTATTAACTTGCTCCCCCTCGCTCCTATTAGGTCGTCCTGAAAGTTTTTGCGCACGATTTTCAAAAATCCATAACTTTTCCAACCGATTACTGCTTTCACTTTTATGTGAAAGGGTAAGTCATGCTCTTTATAATGACACCTCAGTGCTTAGTAATGGTCATCTGTTGCATAAATAGGAACGATAGAAGAAAATTGGTCAAAATTTAAATTTTCTGTGTAGGGTCATGAAGAATCGGAGACTTGCAACAAAAATCGGAGCAGTCAGTATTGTAGGTTCTTTCACCAGCTCTTTCTAACAGTGCAAAGTTTGCGCTGATTGAGCATCTCTATGAAGAGTTTTGATTTTCGAGCAAGCAATACAAAAGGGCGAATTTGGTTTATTTTGGCATTTTTCAGAAAAATCATGACTTTCTATAGAAACGCTCGATCGGCGCAAACTTTACACTGTTAGAGAGAGCTGGTGAAAGAACCTAGAATACTGACTGCTCCGATTTTTGTTGCAAGTCTCCGGTTCTTCATGACCCTACACAGAAAATTCAAATTTTGACCAATTTTCTTCTTTCGCTCCCATCTATGCAACAGATGACCATTAGTAAGCAGATAAGATGTCATTATTAAAAACATGACTTACTATTTCATACGAAAATAGAAGCAGTCAAATCGGTTGGAAAAATCAAAGTTATGAATTTTTGAAAATCGTGCGCAAGAAATTACGGGGCGACCTATACAATGTGTTGGCTTTACGGGTCACCGGAACAAGTGCTTTTTAGAGCCGGAAAGCAAAGAAGCCCTAACGTGCTGTACCCCATTCGAAAGCGAGATCATGGAGAATCGAAATAGACCGTCGTCTTTTTTCTAGGTTTTCTGTGCCGCGAGATAAGAGGGATTTTATGTACTCCAAAAACCAACTGCTTTTTTGTCCTCACTTTCTGCTTCCAAATGAATGTTACGAGGATAAATAAATAATATAAATAAACATAAATAACGTTTCTTTTGTAAATTTATGAGCGTATTTGTTGTTTGAGTTACTTAGTCTGCAAAACCTTTTAATGACGATTTTTATCATATTCTCAGAGTACAATACCAATCTCAGCCCAGGTGAAGGGAGTCATCGGGAGTTTGTCCTCAAAGTGAAGGGGGTAAGATCCATCACTCCCACTATCGCAACTATGGTTATAACCTCGTACTTGCGCGATGCTGTGTCTGAGAAGGGCCACTTTCGCATGGCGCTGAAACCCCAAAACCCTCACTCTGTCGTGCCTCTAAGAAGCTTAGGCAATCGGTTTGGTATATTGTTATGACTCAAACGTCTTACATTTACTGTATGCATGAGATTTATAACGATTTGAGGCAAATTTAAACGGTCGTCACATCCTAATGCACTGCTGAAGTTTCATTTCTTTACACAAGGTGAAATAAGAACTGCGGGCCACTCTCGCACTCACTTATTACCAAGTATAGCATGGCGACGATCGATATGCATCAAATACGTGTGAAATTGGCGACTGGCGATCGCCAGTCGCCAAACAAGTTACCGTTGAGTGTTGAGTGTGAAAATCACTGGTCTTGCAGTTCATTCCTTTTGGGGCGACCTCACCGGCTGGTGAGTACTTTGAAATGGAAGTGGGAAATGAGTAATGATCGCCAATATCGGCGACTACACGTCTGATACGTATCGATTAGCGACTGGCGATCGAGTCGTAGCGACTGGCGATCGCCCGTCGCCATGCTATACTTCTCGAGGAGTATAGCGCCTGTCTTATCACGCAATGAAAGTTACTTTTACTTCCAGTAGAGAGCAATATTCATTTAAGTCATCGAGAGAAGAATGTACTTTCTTCGTACGTTCTATGTGTTGCTTCTGTATGTTACTTCTATCTTGCAGCTTTGCTATTCTTATCTAAAATAGTCAATTGCAGCAAAGATGTGTTAGTCGCAATGCGAAGCTATATCTGGACATCGTTTCAACTTGGTGTTTCAATACTCTTGGGTCTAATCATGATCCCAATGACCGAAAATCTTGAGGTACGTAAGCCAAGAAAAGTGAAATAAGTATTTGAGTGCTTCATGCCGCAGGCGGCCTCTATTTAGCAAAATGTTAGTTTGAGGAACACAAAGGTTAAAGGGTCGGGCATACTTCACGCGATTTCAGTCGCGGCGCGATTTGGCAATATTCCAACTGTCCATAACCCACTGTAAGCACATTTCAAATGTATCTTAACAGTGTTTTCCACATGTATAAATACAAAAAACGAAATATTTTCTCTTAGGAGAAACAATCTTGAATCAAATTTGTACTGGATAGAAAAGAAGGGTTAGCAGTGGCAACGATATGAGAAAACACAGGTATTTAAATTTTTTAGGTAGTAATAGGATGTGGCACATTTTCCAAAAAGGTGTTGCAACCACAGCTTTTTGGGGTTTTGCCACACACCATTAACTTACCTCCAAAAAGAGTTTTGGCAAAAAATATGCACAGCTTGGCCAACGTAGTGTTCGTATAAGTGATTAGAGCTAAATTCTTCTTCTTTCGTTTGAGAAATGGCGCTGCTCAGATAATCGCTGGGGGTAGGCGGTCATGCGATTTATGGGCGGGCGGGCACCGGAAAAATAGTTTGCTAATTTCTTGCGGTCCGCTTGCAGATTTTTGGAATCTTAGCGAAATTTTTGACGAATGCTTGGAGAACAATCGCGGTTTTCTTATAGGTAAGCTGCGGCGCAGTGGCCACATTCTCGCGGATTTTCCGCGAGAATATGCAAAATTTTCGAGTGCCGCACGGTCCTTTGTGGAGGGCCGCGCGCCCCCAGGTACTTTCCGCTGAGATAAAGTTCCTCAGACTTGAGTAATTAAACCGTCGATGACACCGAACGATGATGAAGTTGAGACTCTATGTTCCACATAGAGTCTCAACTTTTCTCGGCGTGC